CAGACAAGAAACAAAGTACAGTACTGTACTGTAAAACATTTCGGCTGGTGTGGAACAGCAACATCGACTCCCGTAACTTTCAATCTGATCTGCTCAAGAAGGTTCAGTAAAATCTGCGTGCTTTATGATAATACATTAATAAACTACTTCCGCCATACCTGTAAGAATAAGTGCAAAAAATGAATACCAAACTTATTGCTCTAGACTCTAGTCTATAGAATCTGTTCAGTAATGAAGAAAGTTTCACACGCTGCTGAAATATTCGAATACTGAAAGTTAATTTAAGCCACGCGTCTTAGTATTCGTGTTATACAGCCATAGTCCGCACTTCAACAACCACTTCAAGAAAGTAAACAGGGAAAGTTCAGCCCGGGTGCTGTATTCCTAATTATTCAAATTCCTGTGTTGGTCTCACCAAAGTACTGCGACTGATTAATGTCACATAATTCAAAAATATATCCATTCAGATTTCAGCAGCACTTTATTGCTGCTTTATTTAGAGAGAAGTCAAAACTCTTCAAGTCAAATTACAAGGAACTAGAAGAAAAATTCGAGGTACAGAGGTTTCCAGCTGGGGAAACAAGCTTTCTTTGTGGGCAATAGGTGGAAGAATTTCAGGAAATTGATATTCCATGCCTTAAATTGCTTCTTCAATGAGTTGATAGGATGCAACTCACATATGCTTGGAGGCAAAGATTCATTTGCACAATTGGTCTTTCACTCCCTTTCAAAACACAAAAAGTTATTTTTAGTTGCTCTTCTCTTTCCTGCGTCAAGAAAATAATAATAGCCAAAAGGACTCAGAAAATTTAAGTTATGGATGTTTAAGAGGAAAAGACTTTGAGTTAGAGAGATTTTTAATGCATTATTTCTAGGGGATTCAGACAGGGACTTGAAAAACAATTTGACTTAGGGAGGTTTGAGGTCAGGTTCAACTGTCCCTGAAATTAATCACTATACCAGCAGTAAAAATATTTAAATATAAGTCTATGATTTTCTGCTCCCAGTATCTGCCAGTAAAATTTGGCTTGCAGGAAATTGATATGTTACTAAGTTGTCGTTATTGACCCAAACTGAGACGACTAATTCTATTAAAGAGTGGTCGTGGTCGTATAACTTGGGTATAATGGTATTTTAATTTAGAAAGTCTACTCTCTGGTAATAATAACATGACCTCTGCGACAAGAATAATGGGTAAATTCAGTTTTCGAAATTTAATGATTTGCAGAATAATTCCCGAGCGCTTCTTGACCCTCTTAATTGGCATTTATAATGACTCAAATCATCAGGATTTAACACTATCATGTACAGTATTTCTGTTCAACCTCTCTGAATCAAATTCAAAGGGACTTTAAAAACATACGACAAAGAGTTTTTGAGTCGGGAAAGAAGTCCACCTGTCACAAACAACTCACAATACAGTACATTACAAAATAATAATGATTATCCTCCCATGAAGATAAAAAAATCAGGATTAATTTTTCAATCATCGCTTCAATTCTGATGAACGACAAAATTGTATACAGGAGGACTCTTCTCTACCAATGATAATGTTCTCTACACCGATTTTCTATATGTATACCTTTATTAATTTTGGTCCCAGGATGAAGTTCTTGCCCCATGATATATATAGGGGATCATTCATACAAATAAATTTATTTTCCTAGAACGAATAGCGTCTGCTGGTTCCCTTGAATTTGTTGGTTGAGATGAGAGTCCACTTATGTATCAAGATTCAGGGGTAAAAAATAAAAAAAACCTCCATCAGACATATCAATAATATACAATGCAATATCCCAACATATGATGGTGCGTATAATGGAAAAACCGACAGGCGCACGCCTGAATCCGGGCGGAGAAGCTTCCGGCCCAGGCATCTGTGAGAATCGTTGTCGACTTCCCTTACATTGTTTGCCGAGAAGTTCTCCCGCACATTGCTTATCATTCGCTTATGTTTGCTCACAGGTAAAGGACTCACTCTCCACGACAACGACGAGTTCTATACTGTACAATCTCGAGATTCGGGAGATGTGTCTCTTATTTTTACGTCCTCCAGACTTGGAAATCCACGCTTACCCGCATCCTCCATTTCCGTGATGATTTGAAGAGAAATTACATCCAGTATATTTCAACGAAATAACCGCACTTGAGTGGAATTCGTCAATCGCACGAGCGAGAAGTTCTTCACTGCAGCTAAAAGGACACAATTGCATCTTTCCTTACATAAACTAGCTCGGAGCTCCGAAGAAGTCCGCACAAATGTGGCATCGAACGGTCTTCAGCACGCCTGTTGTATGCTAGCAGATATGCGTTGCCACACGTACGGTCGTACGTACTGTACACCCAAAGCGCGAGTACGGTATATCATCTCGGAGAGAATAAAGTTATATGAAGTCGCACTCTTCGTTCCATCGGACGTTTCGGCAATTCAACAAAAGGTGACGAACCGCTCGAATATATTGCGCGCCGCCATCAATCGCGCTATATGTCTAACGAAGGATATATTGAGTGATCGATTTACGGAATACCCAAGTTTATCGTGAATATATACGAACGATTTGTTCATCAATCCCTCGACATCGTTTCCGTGCGCACCGTTCATATTCCCATAATAATGAACTGCTAAGGGAGTTCCAAGTTAATTTAAAATGTGATGGTTCTGTTCCGTGGACTTCATACACGTTTGATTGGTGCTCTTAATTCTTATACTGTATTGTAATCGTTGAAATATTGTACTGGTGCACTCGCAATTCATGTGGCCGATGTAAATATGTACAGTAGGCAATTCAGCTCATCAATCTGCGCTGTCAATTGGACCTATGCTCTCGTGGATTAATCAAACTTTCTGATGGTGATGATAAAAGTGACTTTCGTATCTGTACGATAAATTACGTACGACTGCGCACTATGTTAACCGGAAGCATGTGAACCGATATTGTCCGAACGAACCATGTAAAATAGTTCAGCACACAGTATTTCGTGTCACATGTAATTAGTGCGGTATACCCCCCTTTCACCGTGACATCATACGTTTAATGATGAGGGATAGAACCGCGTTTAACTCTCGCCTGCATATATAGTACGGAGATATCCGTGCATATCAAGCCAAGCGATGAACAATTCCGATGAATCACGCGACATCTACTCCAAAAAAAATGAAAGTGTGGTAAAGGTGAGTCAACTGGGATTTCCGCGAACCGCGTCTTACGCAGCGTTGGGTAAATCAGCGAGTAATCTCTTGACTCACGCGAACCGCAGACGTTCAACCGGAAGTCCGGAACCCATCGCCGCAAGCCTAGTCACAAATAATTGCAGTAGCGGGGCATGAAAAAGGTCAACCCCGCAAATTCTCACGGCTGCAACTTCAGTTCTCGCGCGGAATGCGTTTGATTATGAGGTTGAGTGAAACTAACGTTGTGTATACAGTATATTCATGATGGAGGGCGATTCGCACGGAGGAATTTTCTTTGTTCGGTGTATAGGGAAATGATAGGAAAGGAAAAGATTCGTTCTTATCGCCTCAGGTCAAAGAATTCCTCGCGATTCCGAGAACGACGGGCGTGATTCTTAGAACGATGGGCCGAAATCTCGGCCGGATCATGAATAACGTTTGGACATCCGTTATACATTTTCATGTTCATTATACGCGCGTCACGACTCACGAGTACAGTAAAGTACTTGGACGAATCTCTCCTTATATTTGAAGCAAAATGAAACTGATGCAATTTTCTCGTCTCCGCAGTTTTGGTTCTTAATAGAAGCTTCGTATGCAGACCACCAAATGTTTTTTGAATATACATTTTTCACTGGGCGGGGTTTTATAAGCACATCGTACAAAGATCATGAAATAATTTTTTTGGTGCATCAGCATCTTCACGAATGCTATTGAAGAGGCAACATTTCACCGAGTCGAATTTTAGGATGGGTTCTGTCTTCCATGATCGTTTTAGGAATGGTTTCTATTTATATCAATAAGTCATATACGTATACCATGTACAGTACTTTGAATTAAGTACTGTAGTATAATTTACAAAAGAAAAATGTGATGAGAATCGAAAGAAAATTTGATAAAAAATTCATCTCCACGTAAGACGCGGATTCTAGTTTTCCTTCAGTACGTCATCGTAAATGATTTTTTTTCAATTGAAATTTTTTAACATTTTGTTTCAGTCTTGGATGAATGTTGATTGCAAAAAAGCTGAACAGATTATCAATAGAATTAAACTTGAAGTAAAACAAAATTCGATTTTTATTTCGGGTAGCTTTCGAAGAATTGCATTTGGAAGAAAAGTCTATAATGCTCTGACGAGTGACTTATGGATGAAACGCACCAGGAAACAGGTTTTTTTTTTAAACTTGCAAACCATCCTGCGAAAGAAAATTTTGAGATTTTGTCTGGGGGTCGTATTTATATACAGTATTTCCGCGTATATGTGCTCCTCGTTTAAGCCCATCAAATGCAAAAAAAACTCAAATTTTGCAGAAAGATGCACGAAAGTACTTGAACGTCACGTAGCGTTTTCTGCTTAAACTCCGTAATATTCTTGCGACTTTGCTCAACCAGGTGTCACTTCTAGTAAACTGAATGAAGGAGGTCCAATCAACAATTGTTCCCTTCTTAAGAAGGGAACAATATACATCAGTGTATATATTACGGTACTGTTTGAAGTAATGTAAATATAAATTTTTTTTATTCATGACAGTTTTTATGGAATTACGATAATTCAGTGAAAGAGGCGCCATCTTCTTGTAAGTATGGTTTACCGTGATTTGGCAATAGAATCTAAAACGAAAAATGGTACGAAATTGTATTCATGGGAATACCTTGATTATGGACCGCACCTTGGTATTAGACCATTTTTTTTAGAATGATGCTGACAAGATTCAAGTTTATACACAGCTTACAGCTTGATGGAGATTGGACACGCGGAACCCAAGCATGGTCCACTCTAAGTCGAGCCACGGGAGAACGGGGCTGCTTATGTGTGACATGCTGGTTCAAATGGCTCGCGAAAGTGACTCTTTCCGTGCAGCCTCAACTTCAGATTCAGAGTGCAAGATGTCTTCCTCCTCTGCCACAGGATGGTTTATGAGATCTTGGCTCGTCGAGGTGGGACAGCCGCGATGCGTCGGTTCTCATCCGCGTGCTCCATCATCATCAGAGGAACGTCGTTATTTCCAAGTAAAGATAACAACATCCGTGTTGACGCCGTTGGGTCTTCCTGTCGAAAGTTCGCGGTTCTCATCAGCAGCGGAACAATCGCGGGATCAGATCCCGGAACGACGAGAAAACATGGCATTGTCCACTTCTTCGAGAAGTCATTTCAAAAGTATGTACGCACTCCATCGTCGTTTCCGATTTTCTCCCAAGCATGTAGTAATCCGTGAATCCGAACCGTTCCAGCATAGTGCGCGATGGAAAATGTTGTACTGAACCTGATGCGAAGATCTTCAAAGTTTCGAGGAAAACGTGATGGAACTTTCATTGATCCGGTTCTCGGGAGCGAAAAAGTTCCTCTCCGACCCCTTCAGGTTAAAATCACGATCATCGACGTAACATATCCGTAGTATGCTGTGTGTATTGCACTCAAGTTCTGATCGGCGGATCAGAGATCTTTCATGACGAATTTCGTCCCTTATTCAATCCTTATTATGATGCAGTTGGAAAATGAAATTAGTTCGCTTTATCCGCCATGGCATGACTTCGCAACGTTTTTCCCTTTCGAGAAGATGTCATGATCGATGCTGTTTTTAGAGCTTATTTAGAATATGCAAATGAACGATGACAATGCATTGCTGAGGCAGTCAGCAGGAGATCACGAAGATCCCATTTCCTATTTAAACCCGATCGACTGTAATTCAAAGAATCAGTTTCAGCCCGTTTTCTTCTCGTCGAGGAACATATTTTGGAGTCAAGAAGCACGACGAATTATTACAATTGTAAATTTTTTTAAAGTGAAAACGTCTTTGCGAACGTTCTTTGATACAATATTTATAGTGGAAAAGTATCGCCTCAGCGCGAAGTTCTTTGCCTTCTTCTGAAAGAAAACGCTGTTGCTTTGGAAAAAGCATTTGTCCTGCATGCATAGTGAAGTTAGCAACTGTCTTTTGCGATTGCTGTGCAGTTTCTTGAGGTTTTAGCTATGGATTTCTGCAAAACCTGCATTCACTTTTTGAAAACGAGGGTACCAAATGTCATCCTCGCTCTGGGAATTCCGCATTTACGACTTGAGGCTGTTGAAGTGCTCGTATTTTATCTTGAAAGCTATGAATACTCGTGTGGAATTCAAGATATCTTGGAGAAAAAGTTTTGAAATGAAAGCAGTGAATGATTTAGACCCCAGCTGCACCAGCACGCGTATTTTGAAAAACTTGAAGAAAAAGAGCCGCTGCTTGAGGCGCGATTTTCATACTCAAAATCGTTTTTCACTTACTGTACTTTCTTTCTTGCGTGTGTTTGGTTCGGTTTGTAATTAATGTATTCGGATTTGCTGAACATATATGATATATATGATACCGTTTCTGAAGTTATCTACGTTAGATTTAATTTCCTCCAAATAAATGCACGATCGGGATATTTGATCTGGGAAACTGTTGAAGAAAAATGTGTTCCTCATCTACATACGATCAGCTAATTCGGCGCGTGTAAATGTTGTGCAAAAGTTTTTCATTCTCGATATTACCATTCAAAAAAATTTTCTTTCTTCATCCTCAATATGTGATTGCTGATTGAAGCCGCGGCATTTCAGCCAAATCCTTTTCGCATTCGGCGAAGAAAGGCGACGCATACATCACCATGTCTGATCGCGTGGCCCAAAATGACGACTCCAAATTGGACGCGAAGCAAAAGAGCCTCTTGGATACGGAGCAGTTGATCCTTTTGAATGAAAAGGATGAGCCGATTGGAGCGGATACGAAGAAAAACTGTCACAGTTGGCTGAACAAGGCCGGAAGAGTTCCGCTGCACCGCGGTTTCAGCGTGTACTTGTTCAATTCCAAGAAGGAATTCCTGCTCACTCAGCGTGCAGCCACAAAGGTTATGAGCCCATTACGGTGAGTTCGAACATGCAACATTCTGAATTTAAAATATTTGCTGTCCGGTCTCTTCAAGTCAAACGTATTTCCTTATGCATAAGCATTCAAATTTTGAGCTGATCAATGATCTATGACTGATGGCCATTTTGTTGAAAGGCAAGACCAATATTTGTTTTAAGCCTCAATGTTTTCCGGCTCTAACCTCACTTGGTCGAATGTTCCGTTGTGCAGTACTTGCACTATTAAACTGGATCTACTTCTCAGAATAACACCTGATGAAAAATGAATTACAAATTTTCATGTTTTTCAAAAGGACCGTGGAAAACTTGAGAAACTTCGTGCAGGTGGAACGTATAAGAATGGTGAACTATGATAATTACGCCAGAAAATCAATCAATTGAATAACACGCATAAATCCGGCCGCATTCCTTGAATGAAAAATCTCTGATCCAAAATTTTTTCAATTTCCTTCAAATTTGACTTGAACCGATTGAACGGCACAGCGTACAATAAATATAATGTTGTTACAATAGCTCCTGTTGGAATACTTGGAAACAATTTTTGCTTGAAAAATGTTTTCCTGAATACGGGCTTTATAGCCGACATTTTATTCAAATTTCGGGTATAACGCGTTTTTCATCATCACAAAGTTTATTCCTTTTGGCTTCATTATTGCGACACAAGTTTACTGTACAGTATTACTTTTTGGATTAAATCAACACGACATTATTCATCTGAGTCCCGTTCAAGGTCTTATGAATATAGAGAGAGGAAGGCTAAAATTTAGATGTTCTATCGATGCCTGATGTAAATGTCAGCATGTTTGAGTACAAAAATTACGACTTAATCTCCAGAGAAATTGGCGTGGAATGCTGATTCTTCTCATGAAGCATACATACGGTATATACTGTACTGCGTATGTTTTTTTATATATTGTAATGGCTTTGGTGCTGAACTCTTCATAATAACCTCTTTATGTTGATCATTTATCTTACTGTGTGGTCCGATGTACCGTCTTACAAAAAGCATGTCATGTGTTCCTATTTGAATTTCTTGCCTCTCTCAACTACAAGGATTTTTATTCATTCGCGGAAAAACGCTCGAAATTTTTTTCAGGATGGCGTGCGTGTGATTCACATTTGCTTACAGTGTTTTTATTCTGTTTGCCATTCGAGCTCTTTGATCTGCGGGACGACGACGTTAGTTTTATTCCCTTTTGTTGCGACTGTGAGTCAAGCATGAGTGATCAGTCGAATTTTACCCAATCTCAGCTTCAAAGTATTTGTGTAGAAATTCGAACACGCTCTTGTGGAGAATCGAAAGTGTATAGTGAGTAGCAAGCTTCCTTCGGATTTCCTTTGAAGACCCCAGTCCATTTCCTTGCATCTCAACGCATGCCCGATTTTGATCATGTTCGGTTGATGATATTAGTGATGGAACAAGGTTAGAAGTTGCCTATACTATGAAC